ACTCCCTCCGCGTTAAAATAAGTGTCACTTCGACCATTAAAAAAGTTTCAAAATTCATATCACCTTAAAAGTTTAAGATAAAAAGTTATATATTTTTTCCATTTATACCCTTAGGAGTCGTTTGATATGCAGAACAAAATGGAATATCTCGAGTTTAATTTTGGTATATTCATTTTATCTCATTTTATGTGTGCTTATTGTGTACCAAACAATTCCTTACACTTCATCTTTTTAATAGTGTTCAATTCTCAAAAAATATTTATTAAATAGAGATAGTTTAGTAAAAGATTTATATATATATATATATATATATAAATATCATTCCTCAAAATTGAGCCTCAAAAAGCTTCAAAGTCAACAATGGAACTCTAAAATTCAAAAGAAAACTCTCATCATTGGTAGTAAGATGCTCAATTTACAATTCAAAATTCAATTTATAGTTGCCCAAAATTTCTCCTGAAAGACCATTAGGCGAGATAAGTTGGGCTCACCGAGTGGTTTGGCGATCCGTCCTTTGATCTCTTCCATCACCATTATGCATTGGTTCTCAACATCCCCAAGACCTGTAACTTTGGGCGATCCATTTTATCATTGTGAAACTGATCGGCGATTTGTCGACTGCCTATTCCTGTCGCCGACTTGGTTTTTTCCCTCAGGGCTGGCACACTGGAGCTTTAGGCGGGCTGAAGAGCCACTTGGCGACTCGCCGAGTGGTCTAGGTGATCGCCAGGATTGTCTTTCTTCACTTCTTCAGCTTGTTATGCTCCATTTTGCCTGATAGTGTCCTTATTTTGCTCCTTAACTCACATACCTGGAAATCAAGGCTTTAACATCAGTTTATAGCATAAATTAGGCATTTAAGGACACTAAAACTATCAAAACAATGCCCTAAATGAGTCCAAATCTCGGACTAATCAATATTGTAATTGACAAATTTATTAGGTTAGATTTATTTTTAAAAATTAAATAATATTTGACCAATGATTCCCTCTATCAGTTGAAGACCATTTTTTGTTACCTTTGATATGCAATGTGTAAAATTTTGTAATAACTTCTTCTTGGAGAATACACATCTTGTATTTTGGAGAAATAATTATTTAAATGTACTAAAATAAGCAAAAATAAGTGTGTTTATATATATATATATATATATATTTGACTATATTGGTAATTAATGTACCAAATGAATATTTTTTGACCAGATACATGATAAGCGCAAAAGAAATTTATAGTCAATTATGAGTTAATATATGTTTGTTTAGTCAAAAATTGAATCAGATAGTGATAATCCACGTAAAAATATAAGGTCCCCATACAATCGTCATTTCAACGTCATCTAATTTTGAAATGTTAGAAATTTCATTTCATTACGTCGATAACCACAAATCATTATTCATTATCATTACTTGCTATCGATCAACTAGATTAATTAATAAAAAATATTTTCTCCTTCTCTTTATTAGTTTTACTTGAATATTTAATTTGTTATTTATTCGATTATCAACTACTAAATGACTCATTTCCTGAAGGTCATGTCCTAATTTTTGTCTCCAGAAGAGGTGGTAGGAGTTGGAGGATGAAACGCCCTTTGCCCTAAGAATTTTTTTGTTTCGCCTTGAAGTCGTCAATAAAATTGAGCTAATATATGATCATGACAATACACTGATCATCAGACTCAATTTTTGAGATTCAAGGTACAACGTGCATCAATTTTTTATCTAGCCGAGCTAGTATAGAATACCCAAATTTAAAGCTTGATGCAATCATATTTACCCCATTTCAAAGTTATCAAGCAACATTTTCTAATGATGGTGATAAGTATTCCTCACAAATATTGCTCATAATTTTTATTTCGGAAAAGGGTCAAAAATACCCTTGAACTATTCAAAAAGGTTTAAATATACCCCTCATCCACCTATTGGATTAAAAATACCCCTCAGTTCACCTTTTTGGTTCATTTTTACCCTTAAAACTAACACCCTTTTATTTTTAATTATTTTTATTAATGTTTATTACGTGGCATCTTCCTATTGGATAAAACCAAATTCCAACCAATTAGATTTTCCTCTACCCACTGACCCATATCCATAGCCCATAACCCAAAACCCAATTTAAAAACCCATTAAAAATAAAGGATATATTAACCTCTCTTTCTCCATCTTATAGCTTCTTGCAGGAATGAAAATTGTGTACCAAAAAAATTTAAATGAAAAACAATATACTGCACTTAATATCAATGATCACCCACATGCCCTGCTACATAATTAATCAATTGATGAAAAAAGGTTAGCTAACAACTGTATTTGGGCATAATATTATGATAGTTTACTTTCTCCCTGCACCACAGACCACCAAGAACACCACAATATCTTTTAAGAAATTGACAGAGACATGAATAGCTGATACGTGGTTTTTAAGAAAGAAACATATACATCAAATGAAGTTGCTTAATTCTTTAACTTGGTCCTAAAATAGCTTCTTCTTTTTTTTCACAATCTTCAAAAGCCAGAATAAGTTTGATATTTCTTGGAAGAGTTACCATAAAGTAACCTTGAAATATTATCTTACAACAAAGTTAGAAAAATACTCAAAAATCAATCCTAATCAAATTCAAGCTTTCACACAGCAGTTGAAGTAGCTGAAAATGCTTCTTCTTGTAGTTGATGGGTGATACTGAAATAGCTTTAGTGAGAAAGAGATGTTTTTTTTAAAGGGTCTTTAAATTGAGTTTGGGTGATGGGGCTATAGATATGGGTCGGGGCGGATGAAGGAAATTTAATGGGTAGGAATTTAGTTTATCCAATTAGAAGATGCCACGTAATAAATAATAATAAAAAATAATTAAAAAAAATAAAAGGGTGTTAGTTTTAAGGGTAAAAATGGACCAAAAAGGTGGACTGAGGGGTATTTTTAACCCAATAGGTGGATGAGGGGTATATTTGAACCTTTTCGAATTGTTCAAGGTTATTTTTGACCCTTTTCCGTTTTTATTTCAACTCCTCCTTCTCTTTTTATTATTGCAAAAGCCTTGTTTATAATACTTATTAATAAAAAAAATTAAATATTTAAATACACATTTAAATAGTAAAGATGTGTAATAAAATTTAGACATATGAATTTAAAAATTAAAATGTTGTATTAAACTCTAAATACTAAATAATTAAGATAACTTATTTTACCAAATTCTAAATACATAAAACTTGTTTTTAAATTAAAGTAATATAATTCTATATCAATAAAATATTTTTTAAAAACACATATGACTGTTTATTGTGCTTTGTCGATTGAAAATGATATTATTTATTACAAACTGGTGGTAGTTTGACAACAAAAACTGATAATTTGATTGATGATAATGTTGATGGTGATGACGAATGGTGATATATAATGGTGGTCGGTGGTGCCATGGGGGTGATGACTAACTGATTAGTGATAGTGGTTGTAATTAGAGCTGTCAATATGGGCTAGCCCACCCCATTCGGGCTAACCCATACAGGCTTTTACATTTTACGGGTCAGGCCGGGCTAGCCCATTTTTGGTGTGGGCCAGAAAATGGTCGGCCCAACCCACAAGTACGTGGGGCTACAGGCTTGCCGGGCCAGCCCACTTTTTTTAAAATTATACTTTTTTTATAATTATTAAAATAAATTATAAATTATAATTTAAAAACACTTCATGATCATCTTCATCAAACATATCTGAATCAGCTTGTGGCAAGGTTGTCTTAACATCTTCATTTTCATCTGCAATTTATATGCGGTTTCAATTAGTTAAATATTAAATAGATTTTGAGTTTGGACTCTTTTTAATTTTAATTTTAATATTATATTATATTTTTTTAATTATTTTTATTTGGCCCACGGGCCGGCCCTACCTATATTTCTCAAGCCCCACAAATCAGTAGGCTTATTCAGGCCGGGCTAAAAAGCCCTTTTCTTAAATGGGCTCCAAAAATCTTAGCCCAGCCCTATTAAATCCCGGGTTAGGCCAGGCCGACCCAACGGGTCTAGCCCATATTGACGGCTCTAGTTGTAATGATTGTAAATGGTATAGTTATTTATAATTATGATAGATGACGATATTTAGTAGTGAAAGTTGATCAAATAACAAAAAATTGTCATTTTTTTTTTTTTATAAAATATTAAATAAATATTCAGACAATATTAAGACCTAAGTATATATCCTAATTATTTATGAGCAACTTTCACATATAGCAAACACAAAAATCATATTTGTATGTTATATCTATAGTTTGCATAATTGCGTTCCATAGCAAACGCTATACATATATACAAAAGAAGCAATTGTACAATCTGTTTCGATATACATATACAAAAGAATCAATTGTATAATCTGTGTTTGTATAAAGCGAGAAAGAGAGAAAGACAAAAGAAAACTGGGCAGGGGAAGATCATATTTGTATAATCATAAGTGTATAGGACGAAAATATATGCATTTGTATTTATATATACAATTTTCTCTCACGTTATACAAACACAAACGCAATGTATACATTTGTGTTTGTATAAAATGAGAGAGGCGAGTGAGATCTGGGAGAGTGGCGAGCGAGATCTGGGAGAGGGGAGAGAGGGGAACGAAAATAATGTATATATACAATTTTCTTTTGCTTTATACAAACACAAACACATTTTATACATTTGTTTTGTATAAAAGCGAGAGAGAGGCTTAATAACAACACTTTGTTATGAAGTATAATTAAATCAAACTATGTTTATAACATTTAATTTGAATTAATAATTTGTTATTATATACAATTTTCCCATTATTACTATTCAGGCCCATCAAAGTCTCATTTATTTGCGATTAATGAATGTTTTAATCTTGACCGTTTATATTTCGTTTATTTTTTATATATATATTTGATCGTAGCTGTTCATATTTTATTTAATCATTTAGTGCATTTTTTATATTACAATTATTTAGTAGGTTTAAACAAATTCAAAATACCATTTTTTAAAATAAAAACAATACTTATATATAGCCTTTGGGCAAATTCTTAGAAGAAATATAAAGGAACACAAAATCCCCCGAAGCTTCATTCACTCTGATTTTCTCACAAATCCATAACGAAGCAAATCAAAGGGCTCTGTACTTCTTCTACGAAACATGGGTTCAGGTCAGAATTTCAATTTTATATTAAAAAAAATTAATTTGATTGGAGTTTTTTCCGCTATATGCCCAAATTTCTGCAAAGTTTGATCAGTTTTTTTTTTATGAAAAAAGTAAAATTTTGGTGTGTAAATAGAAAAAAGATGAAATTTTGAGACATGGGTTTTGTTTCTTTACGTATATACTGATATTATTTGTATGTGTTAGATGCTGATATGGAGGATTACGGATTTGAGTATTCGGACGAGGACCAGGAGGAGCAGGATGTTGATATTGAGAATCAGTATTACAATTCAAAAGGTAATTATGAAATTTGTGCAAATTTATCAGCTACAACACCCCATGTTAGTTGGGTTTTCTGGGGTAATTTGATGGTTGATCTGCTATTTTGAAACATTGATCAGTGTACTATTGGAAACAACCTCTCTACCCCCACAAAGGTAGGGGTAAGGTGTGCTTACATCCTACCCTACCTAGACCTCACTAGTGTAATTGGATTACACTCAGTATGTTGTTGTTGTTGATGATGATGATCAATGATCTTTGTATAATTCACAAGCTAATGTTGTTGATTGAGTCACTTGCTGGTTATCCTTATTAATAATTTTGGAGGCCACTATTAGTGGCAGAACGAGTATTTTCACTAAGGGTATTAAAAAATACAAAGAAGTAAACACATAAGAAGTCAAGATAACATATAGTATATAAACATAAAAAGATAATTTTAACCTTATGTATACAATGTAGTTTTTCGCAGCTCTTGATCCCACCTACCTCCGCCTCCGTCAACTAGAGATAATCTTGTGAAAACATGGTACATGTGAAATAGATAACTTAAAGTTGAATCAGAGCACACAAGTGTCTCTCCATTAATTGTTGAACTTTGAAGTTGGTAAACTTTTACTTAGATTCAATTAGGTTGTCCTGGACCATGGATAGTATTTACTGTTCTTGTACTGAAAAATCTTTTTCCTCATACTTTGCCTTTATCACCTGTCCTCATCAATGCTTTATCTCCATAGTCATTTAAATAAATGAAGTGTCACAAGGGTTTACCGTTTTCCGACCCCATTGCTACTCCGTTCTTACTTCTCCTTTTTTATTTTTGATAAAGGTAACAATATGGAAGCAGTATTTACACAAAACTAGGCATCACCTTGTAAAACTTAAATAGAGATCCAAAAACTGTAAGATTGGTTCAGTATAATCTACCCAAACTTCTTTATACCAAAATGAAAAATCTGAAATACAATCTATCTTAACTTTTTAATGGAATTATACTACTCTGTACTTACTTAACACCATTACTTTCCATCTTTCTGAATGAAATTATTTCTACTTCCTAAAATTATTCTCTCCATCGGTGCTCAACTATAGAAGTTGGAAGGTCACTTCCTATCAACTTTTTTCTTAGTTTCTCTACTTAACAATCTTGCTATATAAAAAAACAAGAAAAACAAGAGAGAACTTCTTATTGAATTGAGTGGTTAATAACATGTACACGGCCTTCTTATAAAGGAGTCTAAGCTACATGTAATAATGGAAGTTTTCTAATTCTTGGGATTCCAAATAGTTGTGTTATAATCATTAAAACTTTCCTGCACAATATTCTTAATGGTTCTCTTGACTTGATCATACCCTTAAACTTTTGACAAGCCTCCTTAATCTCTGGGTCGTGAAGTAACTTGAGTTTGCTTTTTATGAAATTTTAACTTTAACACTTTTTATTCAATTAAAGAAGTTGGTCCAACAAATATTGGATTCCTCTACATTATTTCCTCTTTCTCCTTGCAAACCTAATACTTAAAAGGAAAATTGTGCAACTTTCCATTCCCTTGATTTCTCTTGATTCCAGCAGAGGTTTGAAATGAATTTCATCAGCAAATGTTTTTTAGAACTTCGGTGAAGAAACTGAGTTCTACAGATAACATCATAACAAGGAAGAAATTGTCATTACTATACCTGTGATTGGGGCACAGTTGTGTCATGTATGTGCTGGCTAACTCAGTATCCACTTTTGATTATGTAAATTGAAACTTTTGTTTATGTAATACATTATTTTGTCATTTTTAGTTCGACATATATTACAGTGATTGTAATTTCATTCCTGCTTTCTAAATCTAGAGCTTCTTCTCTATTGCCCTGATTTCCAGGTATGGTTGAGACGGATCCAGAGGGTGCACTTGAGGGATTCGCGGAGGTGGTACAAATGGAACCTGAGAAGGCAGAATGGTAATTTACAGCCTATGAGTATGAAGTTCATTCCAATGGTCTTACTAATTTTCTTTTAGAAATCGGTGTTGTTGGTTAGTTTCCCATACATAAACTATGCTACATGCAAAATCTGTTTAATAGAAGGAAAAGTTTGTAGGCCTATCTAACCTACTGACTACTTAACATTTGAGCCCCAAGAAAAAATCATGCTTTTGAACTGAGCTCACTGGCTGGAAATCAAAACTTGTTGGGTGGTAATAATTTCTCTAACGCTTGCTGCCCAAGCTTTTTATAGTGGGATGCTACATGCCAAAAGAACTATCAGACACAAAACGAAAAGCCTAAGAGACCAAAAAGAAACTGCCTTAGATAATATTCCAACTGAAAGTAACCAAGTAAACAAAGGACTTGAGTACTGACGATAAAGTGCTGAAACAACAGTCAACTTTGTAGGTTGATAGAGTCAACTGATATAAATCCACTTATTAGTTGACTGTTGACCTTGTAACTAAAGTTGTTCCAAGAACTACCTATTAAAGGTGCAACGAAAAGGATTTGGTAGTCCTTGTAACAACTTTTAATTACTTATTAGATCTCTTCCATGCTACCCATTTGCCTATCTTCAATTTTGTGGATTTACTTTGGATATCTACTATTTTATGAAGTAGTCAAATAGAGGATGCATTGTGTAACGTTTATCTAATTTTGTCATGACGTCTTCCGTGTCTTTTAGTAACTCGAGCCTTATCACAGCAAATCAGCTAGAAAAGAGAGTTTGAATCTAGTTAAACATTTTATGTGTTCCTATGTGATATGATTTTAACATCTTTTGGATAAACCATACCAAGCCTGTTGAGTCCCACGTGGGATGGGTATCTAGTCTCCTTTTAGTCTTAGGCAATCCTCACCTCAGGAGCTAGCTTTGGGGTTGACGGAGAGACCCAAGGTCCATTTTCTTATCATGATATCAAAGTTAGTCCCATCCCAATTCATTGTTTATCCATGGGCCCCATCTTATATTGTCCACTCTTCAGATGTCCAAACCTGGGTGTGCGGGAGTGTTGAGTTCCCACGTTGGCTTTTGGGGTGGGTATCTGGTCTTCTTATATATTCTTGGGTGGTTCTCAACTCATGAGCTAGCTTCTGAAATTGACTAAGACCCAAGGTCCATTTTCTTATCAAAGCGTATGGTTTGAAACATAATATGGCGATGTTTGTAATGAGTTGTATATAAGACATGACATAGCATTTTTCCTAACAATCTTCTAGGTCTTGGCTCCTTTTTTTGGCATTATATTCCATTTGATCAGTATCAGCTTTAATTTGAATTTGTTTTTAGGATATTGCATTATCTTCATCAGTCCCAATTTTCAACATTGAACTGCTTTTACACTACGATTTCAATGGGTTCATGGCTTATGATCTTCCTTCTTGTGTCTTGATTAGGGGTTTTAAAGCTCTTAAGCAGACAGTCAAAATTTATTATCGTTTAGGGAGGTATAAGCAGATGATGGACGCTTACAGGGAAATGCTTACTTATATTATATCAGCGGTAACGCGAAATTACAGCGAGAAGTGCATCAACAACATAATGGATTTTGTCTCTGGCTCAGCTAGTCAGAATGTTGGTTTGTTGAGGGAGTTCTATGAAACCACACTGAAAGCCCTTGAAGAGGCTAAAAATGAAGTAAGATAATACATTATTTGATTACAACATATATCTGCTCCCTTTCCAGGGTGAAGGTTGGTTTGCTATTCATGGATGTTTTGCTAAAGAAATAATTGTCAATGTGCAGAGGTTGTGGTTTAAGACAAATCTTAAGCTTTGCAAGATCTGGTTTGACATGGGTGAGTATGGTAAAATGAACAAGGTATGGTGTCGTTTGTATATACATCCTTAGTTTTTCACATATTACAAAGCTATCATGGTTGACTCTTTTCTATAATTCCTTTTATTTTACCCACGGAAGATTATGAAGGAGCTTCACAGATCTTGTCAAAAAGCTGATGGTACTGATGATCAAAAGAAAGGGACTCAGCTCTTGGAGGTTTATGCTATTGAAATTCAAATGTACACTGAGACAAAGAACAACAAAAAGCTGAAGGTAAGTCATTTTGAGTAATCCTAGTACCTCCTCACTTTTATTTGATAATTCGAGGGAGATATCTATTGAATTTTTCACCAACATATCATAACTTACAAGTTAATACGCCATTTGTATTATTGAAGATTCTAGATGAACATAACTGTTAGCAACTTGTTCGAAGTGCTTTTCACATACAGATGACTTGGTTGTCATTAAATTTTGTAAAAGCACATTTTCTTCTTCTAAACGCTGAAGACTATTATATCACTTCATATCTGTACTTCTAGGATTTGAAGTGTGTATGCTTTTGCAGAACAGTTCAGCCGTATGTGGTGGTACTCAAACTAATTAGTAATTAAGGAATCTGAAGGTCATGTTAAGAGGCATATTGTGTGGCCTTCAATAGATATAATATAGGTATCTCTGTTTTTTTCCACGAAATCTTATATTTGAGGAAACCCTATCTTTGACATAATTTAGTATGTGCGTGTCAAGTTACTTTCCATCTTTAGCAATTTCTGGTTTCCCAAACTTCCAACCACTTATCAGAATCTTTAGAGCAAACACTACTATTTGATTCATACTAGTGCTACTATTGATCAAACAATCAATAGTTGTCTAGGATTTTAAGTGCTTAAGTTGTTTTTTTTTTTGGGGGTGGGGGGAGGTCGGGAGTTGGACTTTATCTGATAACTTTACATTGTAAAGTGGGTTAACCTCTTTTCTTTGTAACCTTTAGTCCAACCAATAAGAGATTCTTTAGACTAGTCAGCTTCATCTCTTGTCTTCAATTAATCTGCGTGATTGAATTGGTGGTTTTTTTAGTATCTCTTGGCAACTGCTTTATCCAAAGCAATATTTTTTCTATAGGTGATAGGTACACTATGATATCATTAGAATCATTAACCATAGGTATCTTATGGTTGTACCTATTCATTCTGTGGATCCATTGATATCTTACAATACTGAATATCCAACATGTATCATGATATTCTTGTAAAATACATGATTTTTACAATTCTGATTTTTAGAGTATTATTTTTAGAGGGAGTTGCTCAGATGGTAAGTACCCCTCAATTCCAACCCAAAGGTTGCGAGTTCGAGTCACCAAGGGAGCAAAAGGGGGTGGGAGCCTCCTAGGGAGGGTAAAAATAAAATAAAATAATTCTGACACTAAAATGTCAGCAGAGGCTGTCATAGCTAGTTTACATTTTTAAATTACTTAATTATGTTTGCATATATGCTATGTATATGCTTGCCTTGAGCTGAGGGTCTAATAAAAACAGCCTCTCTACCTACACAAATGCTTGCCTTGAGCTGAGGTCTAATAAAAACAGCCTCCTACCTACACAATGTAGGGGTGAGGTCTGCATACACTCTACCTTCTCCAAATCCTACTTGTGCGATTACATTGCTCTTTGTGCTGGTGATGATGTTAATATTGTTGGAGATACTTATACATTTATTTCCAAGAGTCTTAAGTCTATTTTTATCGATTTATGCTATATTGTTTAGCTTCTTCTTTTTTGTAAATTATTTTTTACAAGTAGTGGCTCTTAAGTTTATTTTCCTTTGACATGTCTGGTAAAATGCTTAATGATAGGAATTGTATGGGAAGGCTCTTACAATCAAATCAGCTATCCCACATCCTAGAATAATGGGAATAATCCGTGAGTGTGGTGGGAAAATGCATATGGCACAAAGACAGTGGGCAGAGGCAGCTACTGACTTCTTTGAAGCTTTTAAGAACTACGATGAAGCTGGTAATCAACGGCGCATACAGTGCCTGAAGTAAGTTAAAAGTTGCTTTATAGTTGTTTCTCTTATTCTGTTTAGGAAGACCTCTCCATGGGTGACTAGAGCTTTTGCAATAAATTATATTTGTTAGTTGGTTGAATAACTAATAGGAAATAAGAACTTCAGTTATACTAAAGTGGTGAATTATACAAGTATGAGATATAAACTACACGGCTGAGCATCACTAGAAGTGCCCATCACAAATGCAATCATGAGTTTATTCCTCAATTTGCTAGTGAAAATTAGCTTTTGAATATGTAAAAATCTGTTCGATCTACAATTTTCAAGGTGCGCCCAATAGTTTTTAGGCTTCTCTAGGAATTTCAATATTTATCGTCTTAAAAAGTATAAAAGAGAGCTTGCACTACCTAAGTTTCAGGATATGAGTTTGCTCTGATATTTCAGCATTTTTACATTCAGAAGTTTTTTTTCACCACCTTCAAAAGTCGTGTAAGCTCCTTTTTTTTTAAAAACATTGCAGATACTTGGTGTTGGCCAACATGCTTATGGAATCACAAGTTAATCCGTTTGATGGGCAGGAGGCAAAACCGTATGTAAACTTCCATTCAGCATGTAGTTTATTATCCTTATTTTGTTTCACTATTCTGACTTAGCAAGACCGTATTCCAGGTACAAAAATGACCCAGAAATCTTGGCCATGACTAATTTGATTGCTGCATATCAACGAAATGAGATATTGGAATTCGAGAAAATCCTTAAGGTGAGGATTACTAGGGTCCTTTAATTGGTTATCACATCTAGTCTAGAAAGAATAACAGATTAAAAAAATGGATTTTTGCAGAGCAATAGAAAAACTATCATGGATGATCCATTCATTAGAAATTATATTGAGGACTTGTTGAAGAATATAAGGACTCAAGTGTTGCTGAAACTCATTAAACCATATACACGGATCAGGATTCCTTTCATATCGAAGGTACGAGTAATCCTCATGCCTTTTTCTATCCAGCAATTGAAATCTGTACTCCAAATTCTTTCCGTTTCCCCCCTCCCATTTGTGTAGTCGATTCTTTATTCGTGTGTTTCCTGCTTATATGTATCCGAGAAATCCTCTGTTGAACTGAAATTTGCCATGTTCATCTACATTCAGGAGATTAACGTACCAGAAGGTGAAGTGGAAACGTTATTGGTGTCACTGATACTGGATAACCGGATACAAGGTCATATTGACCAAGTAAACAAATTGTTGGAGCATTGCGACAGGTTCATCCACTGTCTTTTTTCTCCCCTTGAGTTTAAGTTCAATGCATATCACATCACACATAATGTAGTTACATATAAATCTCTCGGATAACCATCGATCAATAACCTAGCAAAAGATTGTACTAAACTTGCTTATCACACGTTAAACCATTGTCAGTGTATATAACTTAATCCCGTGTTCCCCTTTTTCTTTCCTTCTCTAATATATTGAACTTCATTGGATATTTGCTATTTCAGGTCAAAGGGGATGAAGAAGTATACAGCTATTGATAGATGGAACACACAATTTCAGTCTCTTTATCAAACCATTAGCAATAAAGTGGGGTAAAATCAGTATTCAACTGAAGTTTTTATTTTATTTTATGAAGATTAGAAGCCAGCTACAAAGAGGACAAGAAGAAAAAGTTTACTAGGTTTCTCTTGTCTATTTATGTTTTCAACTTCACAAATTTAGCTCTTTGTACTTTCCATCCTCAATTTTTGAATTGAACTCTTTGAGAAATTTTAAGAATTTGAGTACTTTCTTTGATGCAATCTCTTACAAGCTGTGAGCTTATAAAAATTGATTTTACCAAATTATTTTATTTATTATGATGATGACGATGACATGATATGAGCTTAAATGAAGAAATGATGATTCATAGAGTTAAATCTTAACTTATTTGAGATTGAGGCGTAGTTGTTGTTGTTGTTGATATAAGGGGTAAAAACTTATCACCCGATCGGTATTTAGATCAAACCAATGAACGCAAAACATGTTTTTCACAATATGTTTATCATTTAACCAAAGGTAGAATCTTTTCTTTGAAACTAATGGTAGAATACGTTAAAAGGTTTATTGAAAAAATAGTTTTATGATTCAATTATATCAAAATTTAACTATCATTATTCTTCATTTATAATCAGATCTCGTATAATAGTCAATCTCTATAAGTTTCACTATATCAATCGAGTTTTTCTTTTTCCTAGTATCGTGTTATGTTATATCATATATACTCAATAACAATATTTATTAAAGATTTAAAGAAAAGGAGATTTGGGTTTTTAGCATTTTGCTAATTTATTTAAGTTTTATGTCCTTCTTTATAAGAGATCATTATTTTTACAAAGAAATCTAAAAGAAAACAATTTTCTTCAATGAAATTTATAAGTGATCATAAATAATCATTTATAGTAAAAAATTAATACCAAAAAATCTGAACAACCAATATCATTATAAAGAAGTTTGACTGTATTTTGAAAAGTCATCTCATTAATAATTATACCATAAGAGAAATTTGACATATTCTATGCACAAAATCTGAAAATACATTAATACCAAAAAATTTGAACAACCAATATTATTATAAAGAAGTTTGACTCTATTTTAAAAAGTCATCTCATTATTAGTTATACCATAAGAGAAATTTTGACATATTCTATGCACAAAATTTGAAAATATATTCTACAAAAGGAAAAAAATTAATAATTACATCCCTATAAATTAAGAAGTTTCTTATACATTTGAAGAACATCACAAACAAAATGGAAAAAGTAATAGTAATTCTTTTTTCTCTTAGTTTTCTATTTCTTTCTCAATCTATGGCAATCACTATGCCTAAATACCCTCCTTGTTTTAATTGCGATTACAAACTTTATTCTTATATGAAATTTATTTTACCTTATTGTTTAATGTTACTATTTTTTAATTTCGATATTTGAAAGGTAAGAACTTAATTCTACTCAATATTTAGATTTTAGATCAAACCAACTATGCAAACATATATTTCATAACACACATTTATCATTTAGTTATAATTAAGTGATGCATGCTTTTATTTTAACTTTCATTTAGTTTAATATCAAAATTAAGATTTTTTTGTAAATTTTTTTTGGGTTTTGTTGTTAAAGAAATGATCACCATGTCTTAGAAAACTAATGTTATGACTCAATTAATATATCAAAAAATTAACTATTACTATTCTTCATTTCAAGGAAAGACGTACGGTCAAACATCTTTATAACAGTCAACTTTTATAATAAATTCACTACATTAGTCAAGTTTTTTTATGCTATGATGTATTTTATGTTCTCTCTTAGGGCTCGTTTGGTGTGAGGGATAAGAATAAATAGTCATGGGATGAAAAAATAGTTCTGGGATAAAATTTAGATGTCTTATTTGGTTGATATGTTTGGATAACTTATCGCACCATTTATAGCATAGTGGTGGAATACGTTATCCCATGATAGTTAATCGTGGGATAACTAGTTCCCAACCAAACGATACTAATAGTAAAAAAAATCTGAATAAATAACACCGTTGAATAGATTGTACCTTTTCATTGTAATAAACTCGATAATGTGTGTTGTAATCGTGTGTGGCTTTGTCCTGACTTCAATGGTTTTGTTAAAGAAAACCCAATTATTGGATAGATTATACCTTTTCTCGTTGAAGCTTATATATAAGCAACAAGAAATGTAACATTAATTTTACTCCTATATAAATTTATTTTACCAAGTTATTTGATGTGACTATTTTTTTTTATTTGAACAATAAAAATTTAACTTTAAAAAGTATTTAGATCAAACCAACGAATACAAACATATCTCACAACACACGTTTATCATTTAGTTATAATTAAGTGAAGTATATTTTCTTTAATTTTAAAATTGTTAAGATTGCAGCTTAGTGTAAATATCGAGTAGTAAAAGCATCACAAATCATGATTGATCTAAAATTCAAATAAATGAAGAAGATTGTGATAGATTGACGATAATATAATAGTAGTCTAATTTGATTAATCTTTATAATTATTAGTGCACTTGAATTAGAAATAGAAACCAAATATGGATGCAAAAAGTTTGATGGTTATTTAAATATTTTCACAAGAAATTAAATATTTGAAACATGGAATCTCTATGCAGATTAATGGTAATTAAAGATTAATGCCTTATTATTTCCCTAATCAACCTACTTTTTGTTTAATTTTCTTTTTTAAAGCAAATGATGCCACTAATAGTTGAAATGAAATAAAGTTCTTGTCATATTGTCTCTTTAACAACTAAGAAAATCCTAATATTTATTTGGAAGAGATTAGATGCTTCAAATTAGTCTTATAATTTTTATTTTTTTATTGAAAAGGTCCAAATTTATGCTTACACCATTCAAAAGGCCTTAGTAGAACAATTAGATATGCTTTTGGTTCATTCTTAATCTTATTATTAGCAAATCATCTCGTATTTATCACGATATTAATAAAGTTTTAATGTGAAATAGGTTAACTCCATGTTTTAGGTATTTCGAGTAAAAAAAATTCAAACTTACTTCTTTATTTTTGAATTTAATATAAACTATCTCTAGTTATACTTCTAGTTGGAGCTCCTAATGGTCATGGCCCTGAGCAAGATCATGCCTATTGTATAACACGTGGCATAGTTGTTTAAGTTAAGATAGCATAAGGGTAAAATTGATCTCTTACATAGTTGTAATTATTTTTCTATTTTAATTTTTATTCGGTATTCGATATCCACTTTAGAGTCCTTCTATTTCATAGTCGTGTCCAGAAGGCCTATTTTGGGGATAAAGTGTTTCTTATCAAAGGATACATAGTACTTACAATCCGATCACCACACTTCACAAAAAATATATAATTCTAAAAGACCTCAACTTCTATATAAGTCAACTAAACACAAATAATAATATACTCAGCGAAACCACATAGATGAAATTTGGAGAGGATTTGTATACACCGATCTTATCCTCACCTCATACAAATAGAGAAGTTATCGCCAAAAGACCCTCGACTAAAAACAACTAAATACAAACAATCCGACCACATACATATTTCAACGTCCGATGAACCTTTTTATTAACACCACCACTTAAATTTCGTCTCTATCATTTAAAAGTCGTACAAATTTAACATTAGAATAATTACCCTTTCGGGTGACAATAGATTATGATCTACCGTTTTCTTTATACATTACCCAATCTTACAAACAATACATTAAATTGTTCTTCTCTAATGTTTACAATAACTTACAAAAAAATTAGACAACAATCTAACGTTTTCTCATAAGATTTCAGTTTACTCAAAAATAAAATCTTTAGATAATCGTCTAACGTTTCCGCATAAAAATTTCAATATGCTTTAACATAGTCATGAAATAAAGTATAATTTTTTATTTTTTATAAAAAAAAATATTATTTTTTATATAAAAAAATGCAAGATAATAAAAGGCTGGCAGAGGGCAACGGCTAGTTTTGCATTGGACTTTCCAACGGTCAATAAATGAGCCCAAAAGTGTCGGCAAAATTTGAATTCTAAACAGTATTTGGTATGGCCCATAACCCGACAATATTCGGACCTTTAATTCATTAATTTAATATATTAAATAAAATACCTACTTTATTATATAATATTAAATTATACTTCATTTGTTTCAATTTATTTGACTCGATTCACAGTACGGAAATCAAATTAATTATGTTCGTGTAAATTCGGATACAGAATTTGAAATAAAATATACATATTTAGAAAGTGTATAACAAATATATAAAATTCAGAATATCAAGATATTATTTGAAAAAAATAATATTTAATTATCTAAATGGTAGGTAAGACAAACAAAATGGATGAAGAAAAAATTAAAATAGTATAATTATTATAATATTTAATTCAAATAAATATATTCTCTAATTTTTTTTATGGAATTTATCCAGCTAGCTTTTGCATGAGTCAACTACCAAAGGACTTAATTAATATTACATCCTTATCCTTATTATTGATTAATTAATAGGCATTAAGTTCTCTTTCTCAATGATTGTAAAACTTTTCCTATCATAGTTAATTGGAATTAATCATTTTTTAATGTTAATGAACTTAACTATATCTGATTTTATATATTTAAAATATGTCATTTGAGCTTGGTGATAATGTTGGTGTTATGTAGGCTTGATAATTGAATTATTATCGTATTAGTGGAGGTATATATAAGTTGATCTAAACATTACGATATAAAAAGATAATATAATTTGAAATTATAATATATTAAAAATTATAAGTCTCGTGTATAAATTAGACATTCAAGCATATCTTTCTCATATCGAATTAAAATGTTATAAAAATATATTGAGAATTATTTTTATCAAAAAATAAATTTAAGTACAAGCTACCCAATTATTTGTTCATAGATGGACCTACAATTGGAACATAGAGGCATTTTTGTCAAATAGAGTGTGACATAATGACCATGCCAACTATTTTAGATATCCTTATTGAATCAACAAATAATTGCCATTGATTTTCAATTTATTGGTATAGGATAATCAAGGGTATTCATAAAAGGATTATAAGCAATTAATATGATAATTGTTTTCATATTCGTCGAGTAATTACGACAATTACGTTCTTAAAAGAATTAAAAATTCTATCTTACATTTTTATTGTCAACGTGATCTTTTGCTCATTCGTTCTTGCTATTTTATATCCCTATTCACTCTATTAAGATTTTTTTTCATCGTGAGATTTCTTTGGCCAAGAGATGTCGAAGTTACATAGTTAATTGCATTATACATATT